TACATTTTACCCACTACTCACTCGGTATTCGCGTACGGGCCCCTTCGGTGGGGCCACTATTTCATGTTGAAGCTAAAGCTTGCTATTCGCACCCTTGCTCGGTGAAGTGATTCAAGGAAGATGTGTTTCGTGCTTCCTTTACTGTTTTAAAACTATAAACTATGCTCATGGATATTTATGTAATGGATACATTGCTTTGGGCCTGCGAGCCCACGTTTCACCCATGTGTGGCTCGTGATTGACTATTGAATATTTCCGCTATTCATTCAATTCAAATTGTGATGTTGTTATGTATGTTTACTTACTGAGTATGGTATGAACGATGTTCATGGACACCTTGTATGATTAAGTGATGTTGACTTGCGAGTGAGATCATTGGTCATACGACGGTAGTACACACGCTTAGATGTGGTCTGGGGCGTGACCGTTTATTTCATATAATTAATAAAAGTAGGTTAAACTAAGTGACACATGTAGACGCGGACGAGGCATTTTGACAAGTCCTAGCGCGGCCGTTGTGAAATGTATCACGCTCTCGTAAACTTTGAGAAGTTGAGGGCTAAGATTGATGTTGTAGAGAAAGGCAAGCCTGCTGTCGAGGAGGTGAACATGAAAATCGTTGTGTCCTTGGCTTTAATGTCTAAGGCCAAAGAGAAGGCTTAGGCAAATGATGTCGTTACTGAAGCATCTAAGGTCAGGGAGCTACGGAAGGCCAAGTTTGGTGCCAATGCGATTCTTTCCAAATTCCTAGAGTCCTACCGGGAGGTCAAGGTGCACACGGAGTGGTCTCTCTCGATGGTTGCTGCTCGCCATGATAAGTGGTTGAAAACCCCTGCAGGTTGGGACTTCCTCAAAAATGTGTGTGTGGGGGGGGGTCTTCTATGCATATGGGGAGATGCACGTGCAACTACTAGTGTGTGCTGGCTTGAAGAAGAGACTAAGAAGCTCATGCTTGAACGTTAAGATCCAATCCTGGATTTATACATGGAATGGGAGGCCGAGTCGGAGCAGGTTGAAGAGGACAAGAAGGAAGGGATAACATTTGACTCTATCTCAATGAAAGCATCATTGATAAAATATCGGGTTATATGATTGTATAGAATATAGATAGAATTAGTTAAAGAGGTGAAGTGGGTATATGAATGATGACTCCTAGGTTACATGACTTTGGGAGAATGGGAGTCTATTTAGAGGGAAAAGACGGACCTAGGTCTCTAATATGGGCGTGATGGCATATTTAAGTTTGGGACAAAGGGGTGTGGTGTGGTTTTTAAGAAAAAGTAGAATTGTATGGTTGATATTGAATTGATAAAGTGTGAATAAAGTAAGAATGAATTCTAAACACTCAAATATTACCAAATATGATATGAGACAAACTTAGTGGGATGAACGAAAAAAGGTAAAACGGGACGGGGGAGGGAGTATATTATATGGGTGGCTAATGCACATTGTGATATACTCATATACTCGGTAATTCCGTATAACATGTTTGATGCCTTAAACGATGTAAATTGATCCAATTGGTTGGAGTTTGAGGCATGGCAGATTATTAGCAGTACGTACTGGCCAATGTTCTAGGGCTTTTGACCAGTGTATGTTTTGTACATTCTACTCCAAAGAGTGTAAATATAAAACCCCCTCTCGTTAAAAGATTTATAACTTATTTAGTTATTCTTTATGTTTTATAAAAACTTTCATATGACACCAATATGCCATATATAAAGTTAAAAAAATATAAAGTTCTAAGCAGGGGCGGAACAAGGCTATTGTGCTAGACTGAGCCGATATATAGAATATTTTTGAAAAAAAAGTTACATGAATCTTTTATACTTACAATTAAAAAAAAAATTGAAGTGAGTCGGAGCCTAAGTCCTCCCCCAGCTACACACCTGGTTCCAAATGTTGATGTTTTTAGGCACTAAATTTTCTTAAGTGGATCTAAATGCTAAAATTAAGATTTCACGATTATTATTATTCTAATGGCAATTCGATAATAACTGAAAGATGTAAGAAAATTGTGAGTTATTAATTTTAGCACTTGGATCTATTTAAGAAAAAGTGGATCCAAAAAATTGAAAAATTCAATTTTTTTTAACTTTGCATATACAATATTGGCGTCAAATGAAATATAATAAAAAGTTATGAATTTTGATATATTTTTTTATAAAAACGGAGAAAAAGTAAAAAAAAAAAAAAGTTACTCCCTCAGCCCCAAAATTATCTTCATTCTTTCCTTTTCGGTCCGCCCCAAATTTATCTTCTCTTTCCCTTTTTGGCAAATAATTTGTGGCTCACAACCATTCTTACACATTTCTCTCTCCACCACACAACTCTCCACCACACATTTCCCGCTATCTTAATCCCCGTGCCCAGCCAAAACCGAAAGTTAATTCTGGGACGGAGGGAGTATAAAGTTTTAAGTAAGAGAGGTATTTTTTTTAAGTGTCCCGCAACTGATTTTCCTTCGTTCCCTCCTACAATTTTTTCTACTCTTTTTTTTTCATTTTTTTTATTTGTGCCGGTGGACGTAATTCACTGGTATATAGGGGGTGCCACAAGGGGTAAGTCTCGGATTCGAATCCCGACAACTGCGATGAGATGTCACTGTGTTAAAAATGCATAGGGTCTCTGCAAGTAACAGAATCAGAGCTTCTCTCTCTATTTGCCAGCTTGTGATTAAAGTTCAATTTATATCCTCCCATCTAACCGTCCGGTCAGTGGTGAGGGCCATCGAGGATGGGGTATCATCCTTTCTACACTTTTTGGAATACCTTTACCAAAACATGCCCTTTTTCTACGCAACCTTTTCATATCTTAGAAATGAAGAATTGAAATTGTAATGCTACTGTCCGCCATTTACCTTAAAATATTTTAAATACGGAGGTATGAGGTAGTACTCTGTTTTTACTTTATGTAAGAAAATCATTTTAATATACGGAGTATGACATTATTTATCTTTCCTCAGATCGAAATGCATTCGCCACTGTTGATTTATTAAAAACCTGCAAAATCAAATATAAAATTAAATACCGAATGGAGGATCTAGTCAAAGTTATTGAAATGAGGTATCAAAGTATTCATCTGAATTCAATTTGAGCTAGGTTTGATTAAAACTGAGTCAATTCTAAATAACTTACATGTCGTGTTGCTTAATTAGCACCAAGTGATTCATTTATGAAATGTTTATTCCCTATGACCTTATGTGGTGTAAATTACTCAAGAAATAAGTATAGTTATTCTATTTATATACGGAGTATCTCTATATATAATCATAACATGATTTATGGGGAATTGATATTAACTTCCCTCTCAAACTAGTGAAAGTTTGTTGATAAGCTGTGGATTTTTAACTACTAATTAAACAGTCTGTAGCGTATAAAACAGAAAATGGTAGGCGTTGATATGTTATGTTAAGAGGATAATGTGGTCTACTAATATCTTATGGAATAAGAATGTACTCCGTAATATACTGCTCTCTATCCACCAAAAGTGAGATATGAGAAAATGCCACCATAATTAAATCATGAAATCATATAGATGAAATTCATTACACATTCCTCCTATCTGACAAGTTTTATCATGTAGATGAAATTTATTACACATTCCTCCTATCTGACAAGTTTTTCATTTATGATTGAAAGAATGATGTTGATGATGTTTTTTAATTATAAAATTAAAACAATTATATGATATTCTTATTTTTGAATTTACATTATTTGCAATCTTAAAACCAATTGGGTTACATTGAAATTGGCTAAATCAGCTAGTTCTACTCAAACTTATGAAGTTCTGAATCAAGTGACTAAATTAGCTACTTCTGCTAAATAGTGAAAAAAATATATTTAAAATATATTTTATTAATAAAAATAAAAAAAATCATATGAAAAATAGTTAAAGTTGTCAATTTTTTTATTTTGATCATTGCACAATTTAGCGTGCAAAAATCAAAAGTTACGTGTTTAGTGAAAAAGTTGGCTAATAAGCCGAAAACGAATCACCAAACGGACTCTTATTTAAGGTAATTTAATAATTTTCATTGTTATGTTGCTTTGACACCACTCGTACTACATCCTGGCTCCGCCCCTTGTTGTTCCCTCAGTTCCATTCAAGATTGTCTACTTGAATTTAGTGTGAAATAATAAAAGTAAATACTACGTGGTTGAGATTTGTATAAAGAAGAGATAAATAAAGAGAATCATAAATTTATTACTTTAAAAGAAAAGGAGTAAAGGGTCAGATTAGTCCTCAAAATTACATAAAAAGGGTCAAACAAGTCCTTACTGTCCGGCCGTCGCCATTTGGGGTGGTTCCCAATGAAATTTTTTGATGATTTTTTTTAGTATCTTATTCATTAAGTCTTGTTTACTCATACCAAATTTCAGCTAAAACTTCAATCGGGAAGACATTCAAATAAATTCTTGAAGATAACTGCACAGTTATCTTCAAGACTTCATTTGAACGCCTTCCTGATTGAAGTTTTAGCTGAAATTTGGTATGTGTAAACTAGACTTAATGAATAAGATGCTCAAAAAAATTCACCAAGAAATTCCACCGGGAACCACCCCAAATGGCGACGGCCGGACATAACCTCCTATATAAGGACTTATTTGACGCTTTTATGCAAATTTGAGGACCAATATGATACTTTATTCAAAAGAAAAGTAATGAAATTTTTAAGAGTTGAGAAAAACAAAAAAAAAAATAGAAAATTGGTAAAAATGGGTATGTGCCAATCACACAATTGTGTTCCGATCTCCACAAGTTTCAATCACACAATTTTTATTTTTTATTATAATGTACAGTGAGAGTTGAGTTCAAGTATTCATCAAAATAAAATTACTGGAATTAATACATGAATCCAATGCGCGTGCAGGGCAGCACAAAGCACCCCACTGCAAGAGGTCCAAAATCCTCAACTTTGCGCTAAACGCCACCAAAACCGTACCAAAAACGTTCTGCATCTTTATAAGGAAAAAGTTAAAAGCCAATGTCAATGATAAAAAAACCCACCCCTTCACACTACAAACCAGACCAATACACGGATCTTCATTCTGTGCATGTGAACAGAAACCACTGCCCTTGTCATTCCTCCACTCCCCTACTGTTCATCCTGTGATTCCTACTCACCTCTGACCTCAACAACTTCCCCTTTCTTCAATTCTTTTCAGCATTATATAAACCAACCCACAACTGTCAGCTGCAACTCCATGTCCAATAAGCTAAGATTTGGTTGAATGAAGATGAAAAGCATTAAAAATCTGCCACTTCTTTGCATCTTACTCTTGTCTTTCTGCTTTTTCATCACTCCTTTCCTGTCTCTTTATGGTAATCTCTTCCCCCTCTGTTTGTACATTACCTTTACAAAACACTTTAGAGATAGATACACTTTTTTTGTTCTGTCATAGAGAATAACTTGGGTGGGACAAATAGATAAGTTGTGTTTGGTTGGGACTTGGGACTTGGAGAATGAAAGTCATTGATATGATACATGACATAAAACACATGTCTAGTTAGTACAATTCCTTAGCTTTTTGTTTCTCTTATTTCAAACAGGACTAATGTTTGCCTTGCCTGTGGAAAAATATTGTAATGTAAAATGATCATTAATTTAATATCCAAATTCTTTAGTGTTATATGGCTTAGGAAAAAAATCTCTTCTTATAAACCATTTAAAAAAAAAATTGAATAAAATAAACGGAGCCTTATTATTGCTTATGTGCTTTCCCCGTTGCAGATGGACCTCTATATGACTCTTCAGCCTACACAGAGGTAAGACTGTAGACTCTCTTCATTTAATAGGAGCATTTCGTGAGGTAAAAAAAAGGAGCATTTCATGTGACTATATTTGTTGTACCTCTTGAGTTTTCATGTAATCTTGGCATGTAATAGCTCTACTACATGGCTACATATATCCTGTTAAGGCTATATATAAAAATACAAAACAACTTAACAAGTACACTAGTCTTCAACTAATTCTCCTATTAGTTTGATCTTTTACATTGGAATTCTAAATCGTATCAAAACATTAAAGCTAGTTAAGCTCTCACAAGCCATTCAATTTTGGTCAACTTCAGCGACGAATACATTGACTTCAAAACTGATCCGCTTCATTGATTATATTATCTTGTGTTGACTTTTTAAATAATTGCACAATCTAGATAATGAAATAACAGATTATGAGTGTTGAACTACCCCTCCATACTTGAGAAAATCACAAATATTAATATTTGAAAACATGTGTTTACAATCTCCAACAAGCATTATTATCATATATGGATATTGCAGTGCAAAGAGAACCCAGAGGAGCCATTATACGGGGGAGGAGTATTGGCCAATAAAGAAGCAGAATCCCGACAAGTCATAGGGCTCAACGGAAAGGGAGTTAATACCCCCACCTTTCTGCTCCAAGATTTAACCCCTGACACCATTTATTGTTTTTCCAGTTAAGTTGCTGGTGGTGATCCACTAATTCCTCATACTTTTGTTAATTACGCCATGTTATTATTATTAATATGATATAAACTTATAAATTTCGCGATGAAGAAGGATTTAGGGTTTTAATGATAACTACAGGTTGGATCAGAATAGAGAATGAAGAGTCTGCTCTCTTGACCGCAACACTGATGTCAGAAAATGGTGAACAAACAGACTGTGTAGGGAGTGTTATTGCTAGAAGAGGATGCTGGTCTTTCATCAAGGGTGGCTTTGTTTTGACTTCCCCATCTAACTTATCTCTCCTCTACTTTATGGTATCATTTCTCTTTTACAACTCCCACTAGCTGCTGTTATCTGATACTTAGTCACTATGTAGCCATTGAGCAAAGTTGTTGAAAATGACCTTTAATCCTTTTTAATAAAACACATCCCTGAGACACATTAACTATAACTTTTAAATAAATAGTCAAATTGAGGCAACTTTAACAATTTAGCATGTGCAGTGATTTTAAGTTATACCAAGCAAAATCTATGCAACTTTTGGTGCATCATAGACCTGTTTCTTTGTTGTCCTTTTTAAAAAGTTAAAGTAATATTAATTCAGAATGAGTAGATATAAAAAAAACCAACATATAAAGCGATATTAGTCATAGACTCATTGTACATACACTGTTTTTGCTAAACAGAATTCAGCTACATCAGATATCAATATAGAGGTTGCAAGTGCTTCTTTACAGCCATTTACTCAGCAGCAATGGAGCTTAAATCAACAAACCAAAATTAACATGGTAAGCTCTCTTTTCTATAAAGCCATTACATTATATCTTTCTTTAACCATAAACCATCTTTCAGGAAAGAAAACGTGCAGTGACAATCCATGCCTCAGATAAACAAGGTCTTAGACTAAAGAATGCAACGGTAACAGTTGAGCAACTGTCGAATGATTTCCCGTTTGGATCTGCCATAGCAAAGTCCATCATTGGAAATTTGCCCTATCAGGTTTCCAGAAGGTTCCTAATAAATTAATAATTCTAGCATTATTTTGTATATATGACATGTAACATGCGCGTAGATTACCGCTAGCCCCAGCCCTGCCTCATTTCAAATTCTGAAAAAAAAAACTTTTTCTTATGTGTAAAATGTTGACTACGAAAGCATGTGAATAATGAATTGTTACACTTAACTTGCCAGTGTATGTTGCAATTGCTTGATTACCTTGTTTGATGTTATTTTGGTTCCTTACGTCATTGAAACTTACATTCATCTTAACAAGTCAAGCAAGGTAGTTCAAGACTATTTTCGACAAAAATATTATACTACGGAGTAAATAAGACTATAACATTACATATTTCTTCATATGATCATCACTATTAGTCACTTTTTAAAATAAGACTCAACCAACATGAAGAAATTTTAATCGTTCTTATTCTTCTTCTTATTCTTCTTCATCATCATCATCATTACCCCGCAAAGGCTCCCATCTACGATGGGGTAAGGGGGTCGGATGTACGCAGTCTTACCCCTGTACTAAAGCAACGAGGGACTGTTTCCGGATGACCCATGCTGAAATTCTCGTCGAAAATTACATGCACTGACTACTGCTTGATAATAAAGAAGCGCAGACAGTTTAGTGAGTCATTTTGTTTTATTCCATCATATTCCCAAGCCAAAAAATAGTGAGTCTGTGGCTCCATTAAAAATGATGGAAGAAAACATATTAATCATATATTGAGAAGAAAACTTAATTGGCACATTTGTGAAGTTATCAATTTATTATTATGGAATGATTTTATGAGGAATTTCAAGTAAACTTTCATTTTGACTAAAACTTTCATGTATGGTATGATGTGTTCAAATCTGTTCTTGTAAAGGTTTAATTGTGTTGTTTTACTATTATCAGAGGCTGATCTGATTTGATACCAGATCAAACTCGGCCCAAATGAAAGACCATTATTCATAAAGATGACCTGACCACACTAGAAATATCATTACTAATAGTCAGATAAAAAACATTTCCTACACTTCTTACAAAATCAAGAGACCTTTACAGTCCTTAAACAAACTTGAAAGTAATAAAAGTAGAGAGCTAACAAAATCTTATTTGTTGCAAAAAAAACTTATTAATGCAGGATTGGTTTGCAGAAAGATTTAATGCAGCAGTGTTTGAGAACGAACTGAAGTGGTATGCAACCGAACCAGATGAAGGACACCTCAACTACACCATTCCCGACCAGATGCTCAGCTTTGTTAGAGAACACCAGATTGTAGTGAGAGGCCACAACATCTTCTGGGAAGATCCCAAATACACTCCCAAATGGGTTCTTAACCTGACCGGCCCGGACCTGAAATCCGCTGTCCAGTCCAGAATCACGAGCCTGATGGAGAGATACAGGGACGAGTTCATCCACTGGGACGTCAGCAACGAAATGCTACACTTCGATTTCTACGAGCAGAGGCTCGGGCCAAACGCGACCTTGGAGTTCTTCAAGACGGCCCACGAAGCCGACCCGCTCGCGACCCTGTTCATGAACGATTTCAACGTGGTGGAGACGTGCTCCGACCCGAAATCCACAGTGGACATGTACATAGTTAAGATGAAGGAGCTCAAAAAGGGAGGAATTTCAATGGACGGGATCGGAGTAGAAGGGCATTTCTCAGACCCGAACCCTCCTCTGATCAGAGCGACCATTGATAAACTCGCCACTTTGGGGCTCCCCATATGGCTCACAGAAATCGACATCAACAAGAAGTTCGGCCAGGAAACGCAGGCAAGGTATTTGGAAAAAGTCCTGAGAGAGGGGTTTTCGCATCCGGGCGTGGACGGGATAATGCTCTGGACGGCCCTTGATCCGAAGGGGTGCTATCAGATGTGCCTTACGGATAACAACTTCACGAATCTGCCGGCTGGGGAGGTTGTGGATGGTCTGCTGAAGGAGTGGCGAACCCAGAGCTTGGAGGGAGAAACAGACGATCATGGAAGATACAGTTTCTTTGGGTTTCTTGGGGAATACAAAGTGAGGGTCGAGTATGGAAACAAGACTGCAACTTCAACATTCTCACTCAACCGTGGTGATGACACCAGGCATTTTAGCATTCAGCTATGAACTATACTTACATAGTTACATTACAAGCTAGTTAAGCTACAAAATATATTTATATATGTTGAATCATTTTTCTAAAACTCGCTAGGCGCTAGTCGGGCGGTTGAGGGGCGCCTAGCGCCTAGGCGGCCGACTAGGCCGATTTTTTGGCCGACTAGGCCGATTTTTTGACCGACTAAGCCGACTAGGCCTCTACAGTTAGGACCGCCTAGACCGCCTAGGCCGATTAATCGGTCCGCCTAGGCCGATTTTTAGAACAGTGTGTTGAATCAATGTTGAAATCTTTACCTTATTAATTAATGTTATACAAACACAATTCAAGATGTAGTCATACCAACTAATCAAGCACTTGTAGGGGTGCAACCGTGCAAATGAGCTGAGCAGCTCGTGAGCCGCTCGGTCAAAGCTCGAATCGAGTTCGGTCAAACTCGAACTCTAATCGGCTCGTTAAGCAGTTGAGCCATTAATGAGCCCACTAATTTTAGGCTCGCTAGCCTAGTTTTATATGTGTGTATTTATATTAATATATATAATACTTCGTATATTAATATACAATATAAATTGATATACGATAGTATAATACTACGTACAGAGTATATATTAGTACCGAGTGGTAAATGTATATGAGAACCGAGGAGATATTATTAATTATAAAGTAATTTAACAAAAATAATCAAAGTTTCATTCACTATTTTTTCATGGTTTGACCGCTTTTGATTTATATTGGAAGTACAAGTGGGTGGACACTTGAAGTTAGGATTATATTTTGTTTATTTTCTCGTAACTTTTAGTTATTGGACATGTAAATTGCGATTTGCAAATGTTAAGCACAAATATTTAAAAATTGTTTCATACTTGAGCTCGAGTTTGAACCCAAACTTTCGAGCTAATTGAACTTGTATCTTTTGAACGAACCAAAATTATCGAGCCGAATCGAGCCATGTCAATATTTCCGAGTCCAGCTCGAGCCCTGATTTTTTAAGCTCGTTCGAGCTGAGCTCGAGACAATACAATATATTTCGAGCTCGAGCTCGAGCCTACATAAACTCGGACTTGACTCGGCTCATTTGCACCCCTAAGCATCAATTATAATTTCACCATGTGGGTATGCATGCACGGGTGGCTTGAAAGTGATATTGGGAGTTGGGACGACATCAAACTTTTTTTCAGACAATCTTTTACATAGATTATTTGTACATAAAATAAGATCAATGTGTTTACCATATATGGAGTGAGTTGGATGGGCTTTTTACTTTTTTTTTCTCATTAAGTCCTGAATGGATTAAGACGTCTGTCTACATTAACTTGTTTGTCTGGATTAAGTTACACTGAGATAACAAATTGTTTACTAAGAGGCCGTTTGGTAACACTGTTTTTCGGCTTATCAGACTTATCAACCAACTTTTTCACCAAACACGAAACTTTTGTTTTCGCCCGCTGAATTGTGTAATAATAATAAAAAGTAAGGTTGGAGTTACATTTATGGCTGTATTGATTGAAGTTACTGTAGATGACTCGTTGAGTTATTTTTACATATAACCTTTTCTTTATTTTATTAATAAAATATATTTAAAAACTTTTTTTCTTAAATCGGCAGAATCAGTCCATGCAGCAACTTTAGCCAGGACTTCATAAGGTTCAACAGAATCAGCCAATTTTCGTGTTACCAAACGGACTCTAAGTGTGCTGAATGAGAAGTCGGAATCATGTCTAATGACCAAATAACGCTCCTGTATGTAACAAATGTTGAATGTATATTGTTTGTTTACTTTCTTTGTTCTAAAAGATAAAATTTATATACCAGAAAATAATAATACTTTGAATTACTTAAATAAAAGATTCATATTGCATGATAAAACAAAGTCAAGAGTTTTACGAGAACGACATTTTAAAACATTTCATACTAGTATATTAGCAATTTCAACCCGCAAATTCGTCATATATTAAAGACTTTGTGTACCCCACTGTGCTCTATGTACTTCCTCTCCAATGTCTTCAACTTCCTCTTGTGCTTAATTGTTAATTATATTGTCATTATCTCATTCATCGAAGAATTCATCATCAATGTTAGATTTTCTAATAAAATTATGAACCGCGAAACTGGCAATCACCACATTCCTTTGTACCACAGATGGATAAGGAGCCATTTGTTCTAAGATTGGAAATCTTACTTTCAAGACACCATAAGTACGTTCAATCACATTCCGAAGTTTTGCATGTGCATGATTGAATTTTTGTTCTTTAGCCAATACACTGTGTTACGATATGGAGCCAAGAATCCACGTGTGTTTGGATATGCAGCATCACATAAATAATAGTTATCTGTAAAAATCCAAATGTTATAAAATTGTTAATTAAATTAAGAACACTTAATGAAAACGTGAGAAATAATACAGACCTTGCGGAGGAAATGGAAAGCCAGAATCAGGAAACGGAAAGCCAGAATCGTGTGCTATTCCTTCCCAACCATCCCAAACAAAAGTGAACACCATATTGAAATCACAAAAATCCTAAACATTTTGATAACACCGCTCCCTCCTCTTCCTCTATAAATAGTTTGTTGTTGAGTAGGGACAACCGCACAAATGGCATGTACAAGAGTTCCGCCTAAAGCCCATATTGCTCCCTGCAACACAAATAAACATTAAATATTGTAAATAATGTTTACATACTATACATTATTTACATAAAATAAAATGAGAACATGCCGAAAAATCTCTATCAAACGTTTTTGGCGATTTGACATATTTATGATAGAATCAGACATCGGTACTATCATTTATTTTGAAAATCTCATCATTCCTTGTAAAATTTCAAGAAAGCAATTGTGAATGGTTCTTGTGGAGTGTTAAAATCTTCGCTTAATGACTCTAAACCGCTGATTATTTCCAATAGTTGTCAAGAACATCGTCATCTTCTCCTCAACACTTACATGTTTATTATCACCCAACCAATTTCTTTCTCTAAAATGGTTGCACAATAGTATGTATCCCATCTGAGAGAGAGACATTAATTCTACACATTGTGTATCAGAGCCCTCTAATAAATCTTGTGTGTATGCATGTCCAGTCAATGCAGAAGTGTTATCACGTACTCTTTGTATTCTTAATATAGAACTTTTTCTCCTTACATAGTAATAGAGGAGCAATAAGAATAGAAGTTGTTGCTCAAGGTCCATATTGACCTTGCAAAAAATTGTACAAATTAGATGGTTTACATGCCACAAAATATATTAAAGGTTCATAACTAGCACATAATACTCATTCCAGAAAACACACACAATAGTCATAAAGATCAAATTTAACAACAATGACATTTAAACAAAGTAGGACAAATTGACAAATTACATAAATCCTAATTTCTTCCCAATCATTTTTACCCCATTTGGAATGCGATTCACTTCAATTTTCATCCAAGTTTCTCTATAAAGATCATTTGGATCACAAAATATTGCAAGTGCAACCCCGTACAATGGGTCATCTCTTTCCCATCCTAGCATGTTGAGCTTAGCCATGCAATCATCAAATGTAGGTGGTTCGGGTTTTAGAGGCGCTTCGGGTTTCCCTTACTTTGTGGCAACTAGTCGAATAATGCTCAAAATTTCATCATCAACGGCTGAGTTTGTTTGTTTTCCCCTTTTTAAGCTTGTAAACCTCCTTAGGGCTAGAGCATTGACCTGGTGATGTAGACATAGTGTGTCAACATCGGATGAAATATTTTCAGTAGAAGTATGTTCACATGGCATTGGCTTAATTGAAGTAGGTCCCCAACTTTGAATACTCGCCACAATGGACCCATCAAATAGTTGTGCACACAATTCAAGAAATGGAAGTGATGCAGTCCTCAAAGTCTCAATGTACTTATTTTTTGGTGTTTAAAAAATAATAAGGTGTAGGAAACAAATGAACAATGGAAATAGTAGAGTTATCTAGTGTGTACAAAGTTACCTTCTTTTCAACCTCTCATTCCTCATTCGTAAGGTTATATGTGTTGGATGACAGATCATACACATTGCCCATTTTATTTTTGAGTAGTAACCAGATGCCATACTTTCCCTTAAGATAATTGTAATGATTTTTCATTTGTTTCCGGTCAACAGAAAAGTGATGAGTTTTTTTTTTTTTAAACATTGACAACTTTCTTCCAAGAAAGAGCTTTCAGACTAGTACATTCTCGTCCATTTGCAAAAATCTCATGAATACAACTCTGAAGAAATGTTTTCACCACATTCATGTATTTCCGACTTATTCTACACCCTTTTTTCTTTTCTGATTCGGCACCTTGTTCCATACTTAAAGAATCAAGTAGCTTTGTTCCAATAATTTAAAAATGTTAAATAAAGTTACGTTGTGTGACAATCAAATGTAATGATCTCAATTTTAAATTTATCAAACTTAGTGAAGAGTTCAATGTTTCTGTTTGTAGCAGGTTTTTAGTAATAGGTACTTCAATATAGTGCAGGGAAAAAATCCTAAAATATGTAGAGAATAACTATTAAACTATGTAGGAAAAAGGTGATATGAAACATGGAAAAATCCGGATAAGTAAATGATTAGAAACCGCACAATATATGTGTCATTACAATCCAAACAAACAGAAACTATTCTCAATAGGGTGTAGATATTGTATGCCAAAAAATGGAGAAAAAGGCAGCGTGAAACAGCCCCCAAGAAACTTTTGAAAAATAGGCATAAGTAACGATGCTAAAGATGCAAAGCATAACTCAAGAAAGTTAGAAAATAAGCTCCACATACATGCAAAAAAACTGTAAAACTGAATAATATATGTCATCGTATTGCATCAAAAGTTACTACAATTTGTAAACTTATTGGTAACAAATGTAAAAAACCTGTAAAAAGTGTTAATCATATAAAGAAGTATTTTTTAAAAATATCACATTCTCAGTCCAATCTAAGTAATGAAACACCTAATTTCTATAATTTCTTGAATTAGAAACCACAATTAATAATTAAATAAGTCCTGAAATCAGAGACATGCTTTTTTAAACAAAAATGTGAAATACGATTCTAGTTCACGATCATTGTAATGTAAGGACCCAATTTCAATGGCCAAATTTCATCCTTCAATTCACGGCCAGTGTAAAATGAAGATGTGAGATGAGTATTGCCTATGTTACTCCATGATTTATATTCCAATTAAATTGAGCCAAGTATGAAAATCAGCAAATGGATTAGTTGAGAGTTCACTTCTGGTTCAAATCGACAGAGCAGAGCACATAATAAGAGATTGGAAATTCATATAAAAAGTAGAATTATTACCTTAAATGGGACTAAATTATTCCTGAAATTCCC